ATGGTCCGTCCATCTCCCGCCGTAGGAGGCCCAACGGACACCGCGAATGGGGGAGAAATCGTTGGTCCAGAAGGCCAACACGGTTTCCGGTTGAGGCTGCTGGCGGCCGCTGCTTCGACCCTGTTACGTCCACTTCCTTGTTAATCCAGCTCGTTGGCTCACCAAACATGGCCCCACGATGGACCCATATTGGATGATGCATACAGGCCAGGGCACTGCGAGGTAACAATCACCAAAAAAGTCGAAGGGCGGGTCAAGCGAATGATGCATTGCGCTAATTAGCCGATGGTTAGGTTATGTCGCGTCCAAATGGGGCTAGTGGCTCCTGCACCCTGCAGCCAGCGATTGGTCGTCCGCCTTGCACTGCGACGGCCTGGCAAATCCGAAGCTCCAAAGGGAATGATCGCTTGCTCAGGAGAAGCACAGTCCAGGTCTCTCAATTTGCTCGTTCATCGAAGCGGGGGCAGCTGCAGCGCCTCAAAGTCAGGTGGGCCGAAATATTACTAACGTTAAACCAACGTCATTCTAGTTTTTCACCACATCTCAAGACACAACTAACAGCTGATTTGTAACGCACAAGGACCGGTCTGCCGCACCTTTGGCCAATAGAGTCTAGCCCGTTCGTTTTGTCGGTCTTCGCGGTAGCAGCGGCGGTAAACTTTTCGTTAGCCTGGTGTGGGCAGTAGTCTGCTCAGGATGGCACGCCAAATCCAAGCCCGTTGAGCGATGAAGGGGAACATGCACAGTAGTTTCGTCTCAACTGCGCATCGTCTCAACTGCGCAACATAACCAGATGCAATCAAGCCTGGCTGAGTATGGAATACTTGACAATTCGCGTTGTTCTGGAAGGACTAGATGTATTTTTCACACCCACAGACGAATCGATCCTCGAATGCGCAGCATGCTCTACGTGCGATGGTCCCTGCACGATCGAAAATCGGATTGGTACTAGTACATTGGAGGGAAGAGGCCAGGAAAGAAGTGTCATCAGAAGCCGCGGCTCTACTGGACGACCTGGGTGGCGCTACGGCTCTCTCTATAGCTATCTTCCGTCCGATACATCGGTGTCTCCAATGCCAGCCCCTTTTCCAAAACCTCGATGTATTGGTCCTGGAGCGCTATCAGGATGTCTTGTCGCTGTCGTTCTCTCTCCAGTGCCTCTAACCTATCCTGAAGCATTTGGATCTCTTGCTCAACGGCGCTGAGAGCAACAGAAAGTTGGTTCATCTGCTGGACTGGCGAATTTTGAAGGTCACGGTCGAAAACGGACATGCTGAAGGTCATTCTTGTGTGGACGGTGCGTCGAGAGAAACACAGCTGTGCTTCGCCAGCCCACATGCTTCTTGTACTTTTCTGATCTTCAACACCGATAGCAAATGGAGGGATGCAACGGAGATGAGTATAACAACAATGGATTCCATGACTATATGTCATCCCTACATAATGCAAGCTCTCACACACCCTAGTCCGAGGATCCACCACTCAGGGCCCAATTCTTGGCTCTCGAGGGGTATCTGAGACAGCTGGCGTTGGTGTAAGCGCTATTTGTCTTCTTTCCGTTATATATTTCATTGGGGCTTTTGTCGCATGCTGCTGGTAGGAGTCCACTCTGTTACTTCCCTCTCTCACATGCTACAACCCATCCGGTAGAAAGTGTAAGGTCCCCTGCTCCCACGTCAGCACTGGTCATCCCCGCGCTGTGCCATGATTTATGCCCCGGTTCAAAGTCAAAGATCACCCGATGACACAGAATACTTCTGCCCGAGTCTGAAAGTCGTCAGTGAGGTCTATCTCGCGATCCCTCTGCGCACAGCATCTGCTTTCGGAAGGTTGCGTAGCGGTTGTCGCAGCGCTATCTGATTTTATCTTTGGCTTCCCTGTTTCCGTTGGTTTCCGAGCCAGATTGATACCAGTTGTAGAAGGTTTCTGCGTGTTTTGCGCAATTTCCGAACTAT